TTTACGTTCCGAATCGCCAATGCATGCTTGGTATCCAGATTAGGTATGATATCGTGGAGCGGTAACCTAGATAAGGCGTCTGCTATAACATTCTCACAACCAGATCTATATTCCATGCTAAAGTCGTAAGCGGCCATTTTCCAGGCCCAACGTGTCAGACGATTGTTCGATATCTTTGGCAGATCCCTCTTTTCCCCGAACAACCGTTCCAAGGGTTTATGGTCTGTCCGAAGTATAAATTTTCGATCGTAAATAAAGTTGTGGAATTTTTCTATTCCAAATAACAATGCCCTCGCTTCTTTATCGATAGGCGCATAATGTTTCTCCGACTGTAACAACGTCCGATGGCGAATGATATGGGTTTTTCTCCGTTTTGTGAAACCTTATGAAGTAAAACAGCCCCCAGTCCTGTATCTGACGCGTCACACTCCATAATCAACGGTAATTTAGCATTATAAGGCGTTAAGGTTTCTTCTGCTGATAACAATGTCTTAACTTTATCGAAAGCCTCCTGCTCCACATTAGTTTAACACCATGGTACTTTTACACTAGTCAATCGATGTAACACAGCTGCTTCACTATGAAGATTGGGAATAAACCGTTCATGATAAGCCCAAGAAATGAACGTAACTGATGAACATTCTTGGGGTTAGGTACGGTCTGGATTGCTTTAACTTTCTATTCGCTTGGATGTACCCCATATTGGTCGATAACGATACCTAAAAACGAATAGATTTCCGTAGAAATTGGACTTTTTTAAATTTAGCTTTGAGGCCTGCTTCCTGCAGTCTATCGAGTACTATTTTTAAATTAGTCAGATGTTCGGCGTCATTTTTGCCGGAGATAATTACATCGTTCAAATACACTCCAGTCATCGGGCAATCTTTCACAACATTGTCCATGTAACGCTGGAAAATAGTTGGTGCGCACGAAAGCCCAAACGGCATCCTTCGGTATCGAAAATATCCTTTATGTGTTGAGAAGACCAAATATTCTTGGGACTCTGGCTCAACGGCCATTTGTAGATACGCGTCCTTTAAATCTATCACCGTAAAACGCCCCCCCCCCCGAATCTTAACCAATAAGTCATCCAGCGAATAACGTGATGATCATATAATAGATGTGGATTTAAACTCACCTAGAAATCTGCGCAAATACGAATCTCGCCATTGTTTTTCCTGACATTTACTGTTGGGGTTGCCCATGGCACCCTAGTTATAGAGGAATCGATGGGCTCCAAAATCTCCGCAGACACAAGGCAATCCAGTTCTAGTTCAACCGCTCTGCGTAACGGAAATGGCACTCGACGTGCTGGAAACGATTTTGGAAGAGCCGTATCTTTTAATTGGAGTCGCACCGCAAAATTACGTATCAACCCCGGTTTTCTGTCAAAGCAGCTTTAAACTGTTTAGCTAACAAATGCCCCATCGAGTCTTGCGTTAGTGACATCCACCCGTGTGAGCACCGATTGTATTCGAGCGGCATATCGGGGCATCGTTGGTTTGGTGGCAACTTGATGTTATTGTTTTTAAGTTCGTTTTGAGAACCTGTTGTATGCTTACCTGTCTCGGTAACTCGATCCCAAATGCTAAAATCCATGGCAACCCAAACAGAGGTAGGTCATTTGACTTTATTATAATAACTGATAAATTGCGAATTTCCTTCCCCACTTGCACACGAACCATGGCTTCACCCATAAAATCCAAAGGCTTATCTCCATAGGCTGCTAATGGGTTTGTGGAAGATGTTAGTGGTTTGCCAATTTTTTCCCAAATATTCAATCCTATAATAGAGGATTGTGTTCCTGTATCATAATCAAAAGTGACACTAAGTCCATTTATTTTGGCTGTTATCTTTGCTCTTTTATTTAATCCCCTTGTCCAGAGATTAATTGAATCACCTGAGTGAAAATGTGGTTTCACTGAGTTTAAATTACGATATACGGGCTTACTACGGCAACATGCTGTGAAATCTCCGGTTCTTCGGCATTTAAAACATGTTTTGTCTTTTGCTGGGCATAAATATCTTTCATGCCAGCCGGCACAATTCTTACATTTATTATCGTAAAACTTGTTATTAGGCTTCCTATAATTATTGTCTCTCTTAACACACTCTTGTGAATTAGGCATTTTATGTTTGCAATCTTGCGGTCTTACACTATTTACCAAGTCTTTCTTGATAGTTATTTCGTTTTGAGCATTTTCTGTTGCCGTGGCCATATCTAGCACGAACTGGAACGTCAGGGGTTTTTTGTTCACATCCAATGCTAAAGGATATTTAGTTCTAAGTTCAACTTCGAGACCTTGTAGATCTATACCCGCAACTAATTGATCTCTTAACCGGCCATCAACTTCTGATGGCGTAAAACAACACGCTTTCGCAGTTATTTTGATATTAGCGAACTCCCCAATTGGTTCATTCTCATTCCTAATTAACCTTATGAAGTCTAATCTACTACCGAAAATGGTTTTATTCTTCTCAAAAATATGTAGCGAGACACTCCTTATCTTATCAAATTTAGTCGTTAGAATGGTTTAAAATAAATATTGTTTGAGAATGTCAATGCCCTCAGCGCCAAAACTTATCATGAACAGGTCCTTATTTTCTTGATCGGTCGGTGTCCAGTTTGGAACCAACGTTGTATAGACCCATTAATTTGATATTTTTCTACTTATCAATTATAGTAGTATTTTTGGACTGAGGCATAATTTATAAAATTAATAACTTACTTGTTTTAATTAGAATATTAGAATCCACGTCGTCGCCACTTTAACGAAAGTAGAACCATTATTTATATTTATTTATTTCTATAACTCATTTAATAGGTATCAGTTTTCATTGACATTTTATTCAGTATAATTAAACATAAGGTGCATAATTACAAATGGCGATATATAATTACACGTTAAGAGATTGATGTGTACATAATACATTAGGAAGTTAAACAACACCTATTATATTAATCGTAAATATATATATATATAATCATATCTAACTGGCAAATATAATATATAATATGATAAAATATTACAATAGACTTCTTTACTATAAATACCTTCTTAGCAATAATGTAAAATGAAATAAAAAACATAATAAATATCTATATGCACATAATGAAAGGGAAAAAAAAATATAACCAAATTGTTTTTTGAAAAATGATGTGATAAAAAACTAATAATGATTCTTTAACATTAAAAGGTTTTTTTGAATAAAGTAAAATAAATGATAAAATAAGAAATTAATGATCCTTTAAAAATGGGATTGACTTTTGCTAATTTATATAGATTATTATGGCATGAATATAGTGTTGTTAAATGGTTGGGATTTTTCGACCAAGACCTCGAGTCGAAGTCGTAAAAATTGGCCCAACCATGAGCCAGGGTCGAAAAATCGACCATGACCCAGCCCCATCCATTGGGCCTGTTGAGTCGACCCGGGTTGGCTTACTGAGTCGGCCTGCTGGGTCGATATGCTGGGTCGACTTGCTGGGTCGGCCTGTTGGGTTGGCTTGTTTGGTTGACTTGCTGGGTCAACTTGTTGAATATATAGAAAATTAAATTAGTTTGTTTTAATCCGGGTTCATTGTTTTTGATATTAGAAAGATGTTCAAAAATCTTTGGTTCTAGTAATAAATAGGGGTAGGGGTGCCTTTGATCGTAAGACACTTCATCGTATTTTTCGTCCAACTCGTCCAATTCGTTCAAAATGGAGATTAATAGGTTTGAAATGGTAAAATTTAATTTTTTACCATAATCTTACGTTAAATGTTAATAATTCTTTTGGAATGGTAAAATTTAATATATATTATTCAAATATAGAATATTTAGCAGGTTTCAAATGGCAAAATATAATTTCTACAGCAAATTAAGAAGATTAATAGGTTTAAAATGGTAAAATTTAATATATATTATTATTCAAATATAGAATATTTAGCAGGTTACAAATGGTAACAATTTATCTTAGCTCTTACACAATATCAAAAGAACAACCTAGGATATAATTTCTACAGCAAATTAAGAAGATTAATAGGTTTAAAATGGTAAAATTTAATATATATTATTATTCAAATATAGAATATTTAGCAGGTTTCAAATGGCAAAAATTTATCTTTTTATCTTAGCTCTTACACAATATCAAAAGAACAACCTAGGATACAATTTTTACAGCAAATTAAGAAGCTTATTTTATTATTCAAATTTATAATGTATATGACATATGTTAATTATTTCAAATGTATAAATCGAATACAAAAATATAAACAACTAATATTTATTTAGCATGTATAAAACAAATATAAATTATTTACAATATAAAGTACAATAATAAAAATTATATATTATCAAATAAATTTGAATTATATATTAATTTAATATAAGCTGATGCTTTATCAGCAAATTCTAATTTATTAATGATACAATTATTGTATTGTACAGTCAATTTTTCCAAATTTCTCTCTTTTAATATATATTTAGTATTTGTTTTCTTAAGCGTCATCCCTAGATCAATTTGAACCTTCTTTAGCTTGAGGATGGTCCAATTGTATTAGCGTTATAGGAATAAATATTTGGGTGAGATGACTTCACCGACTTATTTAAGGCTGAATGCCATCCTTCAAGGTGATTGTTTGTGCGCGGGCCACCTATTGCATATCTACTCCAGATCTCCCTTGAGAACATTGAATTACGCCCTCTAAAGAAAAAAAATATATATTAATATATTTTTTATTTTACCTGTCCAGTTTTTATCCATATATAGAAACAAAAGATTTAGGTCTATATTATTTATTTGGGCCAAACTTTTACTTATATCTAGGACATCATCAATATCCTCAAGCTTGAGAAGAGGTAAAATGCACATCCTCCTTACAATTTTTCTGGCGATAGGATTTTCATGATATATTTTTTTTAGCAATAAGGAATTGACTTTTCTCCAAACACTTTGGGTAAAGTGGAAAAAACAGCCTAATTATAAAATTAAAAAAATATAAAGAATATTATTAATTAACCTTTGATTTGTATATTTATAAATACATCATACAAGGCCTTTATGGCTGCCTGTTCAAAATTTAATTGAACATATTTTGGACTAAGTATTAAGTTATAGTCCTCACATATCTTCTTTATCATTTGGAAGAGTTTTATATAAGTAGCTTTACTTTTATTTGGCAATAAAGCATATATGGTTACTAACATATGCTCTTTATAATAAATATGAAAAGTGTATAATTGTTTGTAAATTTTGGGGGAAATGAAAAAGGTGCCATCCATGTAGATGGTTTCAACCTCTGCAAGGATTCTAATAAATTCATGTGTTGAGAATATTAGGATCTCATTATTATCATTGGCTAAGAGGAATGGTTCCCCTTCAAATGTGATGTATTCTGTTGGTAATATTAGCTCACCTGTTGTAAGAGGGAAAGCTGGCCGTGACTGCTTGATCATTCGAATCATTGTTTTTTGGACTGATTCAAATGGTGGAATTGCATTAGGGAAGTCTGAGATATCTGGAGTGTTATGGAGCCTTTCTGTTAAAATTCGATTATATATTGTCTTTCTTGATTCTAATGGGTTTGCTTGCATTGCAGTTTTAAGACTGTTTCTTGTTTCAAGGCCCAAGAATTCATCCTTGTCCTCTTCATGTGTATGTTCCCTTTTAATATCAACTCTAGAATCTTGGATTCTTAATATTACATGTCCATTACATAAATTTTGACGGCATTTGTAATATATAGAATCCTTCCTACAATAATCTCTTATGTACAGAAATCCTTGATAGTAAAGGCAATAATTACCCTTTGAGGATTTAATGTATTGAATATCTATGATATATAAATAAAAATAATTAAATCATGAATTTATTACTTGAATTTTGGATGCTAGCATATTGTAATTCTAATAGCATTTGGGCATTATTTACATCTTCTGTACCTATTTAAAAAATAATTTAATAAAATAAGTTATAAAAAATTACTAGATATTGTAGGTTGTATATTAAATGCTGGTAATAGCTGAGATTGAGTTAATATAATGCCTAATAATAATTAATTGATTATAAAATTTATTAATTTGTGAAACTTGATCTGGCATTAGTAGGTTGCATGTTCTGTGTTACTAAGGGTTGACATGGAGTAAACATATTGCCTAAAAATAAACTGTTTATAAAAATAAAATAATTGATGAAACTAGTTATAGTTGTTTGGTAGTTTGCTACAGAGAGTTGAGATGGGGCACATATATTGCCTAAAATTAAATTGATTATAGAAATTTTAATTTGTGAAACTTGATATGGCATTAGCAGGTTCCATGTTCTGTGTTACTAAGGGTTGACATGGAGTAAACATATTGCCTAAAAATAAACTGTTTATAAAAATAAAATAATTGATGAAACTAGTTATAGTTGTTTGGTAGTTTGCTACAGAGAGTTGAGATGGGGCACATATATTGCCTAAAATTAAATTGATTATAGAAATTTTAATTTGTGAAACTTGATATGGCATTAACAGGTTGCATGTTCTGTGTTACTAAGGGTTGACATGGAGTAAACATATTGCCTAAAAATAAATTGATTTAGTGATTTATTTATAAAAATATTTACCAATATGTGATTTACACTGTTCTATGGTATGATCCTGCATCTCTGTGAACCTACCTGATTGTAAAATACCCCGTCCTAAGCAACTCCTTTGTCTACACCTGTAATACGATGTGGCATTTATTACTCTATGGATGGTATATTCTAAATCATTAAAACATAAAATATCACATCCTCTTTTGGATTTTTTATTAGTAATTTTGTTTTCTAAAATTAAAACTAAATTATTTATATATAATTAGATTGCTAACATTGAATTATAGTGGGATTAATTCTTCTCTCAAGAAGAAGTTTGATATTGTTTAACACCGTTTTAATTTCCATTATTATGATTAAAATTAAAAATATGTTTACACTTTTGTATTTCCCGCACTTTAATGGACCAATCACAGAATTGGACGAAACTTTACGATGAAGTGTCCATACGATCATAGGCACGGAAATCTAAATAGGCACTACCATTATATATTACTCCACGAGGAAAATATAAATGTGAAAATTTTTAAAAAATTTATCTTAAGCCTAGTTAAAATTTTTGATACTAGAAATATGTTCTTAAACCTTTGGGTCTTGTAATAAATTGGCACTGTTGTTATATTTTACTCCACGAGGAAAAAATTGCGAATTATTTTTAAGACGTTGTTTTAAACCTAGTTAAATGTTTATGATATTAAGAGGATGTTCTAAAACCTTTAAGTTTAGTAATAAATTTGCACTGCTATTATATTTTTCTCCACGAGGAAAATAATTGTCCATTGTTTTAAGACGTTGTTTTAAACCTAGTTAAATGTTTATGATATTAGGAAGATGTTCTAAAACCTTTGGGTCAAGTAATAAATTTGTACCATCATTATATTTCACTCCACAAGAAAAAAATAAATTGTGAAAATTTTGTAAAAATTTATCTTTAGACTAGTTAAAAGTTTTTGATATTAGAAAGATGTTCTTAAATCCCTGGGTCTTGTAGTAAATTGGTATTGCTGTTATATTTAACTCCACGAGGAAAAATTTATATTTTTTTAAGACCTTGTTTTAAACCTAGTTAAATGTTTATGATATTAGGAAGATGTTCTAAAACCTTTCGATCTAGTAATAAATTTTCTTTGCCATTATATTTTACTCCAGAAGGATAAATTCTGAAATTTTTTTAAAAATTTACTTAAGCCTAGTTAATAGTTTTGATACTAGAAGGATGTTCTTAAATCTTTGGATCTTGTAATAAATTGGCACTTCTTTTATATTTTAACCCATGAGGAAAATAAAATTGTGAATTTTTTTTAAGACGTTGTTATAAACCTAGTTAAATGTTTGCAATATTAGAAAGATTGTTTTAAACCTTTGTATTGGCACTTTCACTATATTCTACTCCACGAGGAACTAAATTATTAATTTTTTATGACACTAAAATAAGTGTTCAAAAATTTTTGTGTTTAGTAATAAATTCGCACTGTTATTATATTTTAGTCCATGCGGAAAAAAATTACGAAAATTTATTAAAAATTTGCTTTAAATTTTTAGTTAAAAGTTTTTGATAATAGAAAGAGGTTCTAAAACTTTTGGGTTTAATAATAAATTGGCATTGCCATTATATTTTACCAAACGATGAAAAAAATTTATGAAATCTTTTTAAATTTTGTTTTAAGCCTACTTAAGTATTTTATAGTAAATAGATGTTCAAAACTTCTGGGTCTGGTAATAAATTGGCACTAGCATTTTATTTTACTCCAAGAGGAAAAATATATCACAATAATTTTTTAAAATTATGTTTTAAGTAGTTAAAAGTTTTTGATATTGGCTCTAATAATAAATTGGCACTGCCATTGTATTTTACCCCAGGAGAAAAAATATATTATCACGAGAAAAAATAAATTATTTAATTTTTTAAAAATTTATTTTAAACCTAGTTAAATGTTTTTGTTTTTATAAAGATGTTCTAAAACATAGTTCACAAATAAATTTATAGTGCTAATATTTTTAACCCCCGTGTAAAATGTAAAAACAAAATTATATATTTATGTTTTGAGCAAGGTTCATATAGTAAATCCACACTGCTATTCCATTTCATTCCACGAGGAAGGTTAAAATATGAATATTTTTAAAAACTTTTTTATGAGACTAGTTAAAAGTTTTTGATACTATAAATTTTTTTTAAAACCTTTGATTTCATAGAGAGATTCCCATTGACATTATTTTTTATAATTCCTTGCGTTAGAATTTAGAAATATTAAAAAAATGTATATTTATGTTTTGAGCCCAATAGTAAGTTTGGGTGTAGTAATAAGTTGTCACTCTCATTCTTTAATCCACGAGATAATTAAAAATTTGAAAAATTTTAAGAACTTTGTTTTGTGCCTAATAAAAAGTTTTTGATTTAGAAAAAAGCTCTAAAACCCTAGTGTTTAGTGTAAATTAATTTAATATTATTTTTTTTAACTTGAATTTAGTTAAAATCTTGGTATTAGAAATGAGTGGTATACCATTCGAAACTTTTTAGGGGATTGGTAGTGGAATAAAAGACTGGGGAAGTTGACCAGTCATCCCATTTTAAAATTTAAGACACTTCGATATATAAATTTATACCCTAAAATAGATCTTAAATCGTCCATATAATACTAAAAATATTTAACTCTTACAAATTTTTAATATCAAATTTGGAAAATGTATGTGAGACAAATAATTTTAGCAAAATTTGAACTATCGTAATTTGTGATTTTTACAAAAATTTATGATGAATTTTACAAACATATATGATGTCAATAAAAGTTCGACAATAGTTTCCAAAAGAAAGATAAGTAAAAGTTCTTGATATCTTGTTTGGGGAGATTGTTATACCCCCTATTTTTTCTATTCTCCAGAATACTCCAAAATAAATGGTCTAAAAGCATTGGAGAAATGGGTAAAAATTTTTAGAAATAACGATAAATCCCCAAAAAGATGTACTGTACCTATTTTAATTTTACTTTAATTTGTCCTCTTTTTTTATGCCTCCCTATCATGTACCTTTCTGAATTCATTATAAACAACTTATTATCATAAAAATATGATCAATTTTTATTTTCTTATGTCATTTCTTAAAATGTATGAAGCCTTAAAATCGTACTTTCTTTCAATTAACAATCCACCAATTATCATAAATTTTTTTGAAATGATTTAAAAAACACATATCTGTGGTTTGTCCATTCCTTGATGTATATGTTTCAATAAAAAAATTAAATCAGTTATTGAAATATTAATTAATTCAAAATCATTAAAATATTTGTTAACCGAAAGAAAAATAAAATATTTTTCCATTAATAAAAGTAAAGGCAATATTTAAAACGAATATAATAAAAATGAATAAAAAATCCAAGTAGATGCTTTGAGAGATATGTTATAGACATTGCATGAAATGAGTTGATCTTATGATCTCTAGAAGAAATGGATGGAGATAAAATATCCAATCCGTGAATAATAAAAAAAATTTTCTAGTCAAAGTTGTTTAACCTCAGCCTTGTTTATAGATAAAAATAGCCAAAACTAATTAATAAAAAATTATACATCGGATAAGGATTTCTGCTAATCGCCCTCAGGGTTATATTATAAATATAAATAAAATAATTTTTAATAAATATAAAGAAAAATTGTGTAATGCCTATCGATAATTAGCCGAAATCCGTAGCCAATGCCTAATTAGCTCAGCTAATTTTTAGGCTAAGCCTAATAAGAATAGTTTTTGGACAATTATGCAACACAAGATCAGACCACAAACAACAAAACATTTATAAAATTTGAAAATAAAAATTTATATCATGGATTTTCCTTTAAAAATAATAAAAATAAAGATTACGTTAAATGACACACAATATATTGTCAACACATGCTCTTCGTTAGATTTTAAAAATGGGAAAATAATAAGGTCCTTAAGGTATGTAATTTACGATATTTTAAACTTTTTTCCCAAAATCTGCACACAACTGATTATAATAATCTCGATTATTTTTTATTAATATATTTTGCAATTGAAATGTGAAAGAAAGTTTAGTAAATTTAAAATAGGCTTAGGACAAATATGAGATACAATAAATTGTAATCAGTTTTTATTGATATCCTTAGTAAATTGTTGATGCAAATTCAACGAGAAATAATTTTCTTTATTTACGTTAAAATTCTAAATTAATGAGATTTAATAGTTTTAAAAATTTTATCATTCTTTTAATTTATTTATTTAAATTCTATTTGATTTTATACAATCAATCTTATTAAAGGTTTAATATGATTTGTATTATTTATATATTGTAGTGCTATATGTAATAATTTTAAATATGAAATCAAGGATTTTAATTGTGCAATTTAATGTTGTTAAACTGCTAAGCCGAGTCGATTTAGCTTGGACTCGAGCCTAGTTTGTAGTCGAAATAAAGACCCGACTCGAGTCGACTCTCGAGGCGATTTTATATACAAAATTACAAATGTTTAAAATTATATAAAAGAAATCATATAGTTTACAAACCTGCAGAGGTACGATTAGCATTAAAAAATAAATCATCCTCTTTTTAATTAATCTCTTACCCTTATCCCTATACTTTTTTAGACATCCTCTTTTTAAATCCCTTATTAAAATTGTTGCAAACGAAATTATAGCTTTGTATTTCCCTAATAAGCCTAAAATAAACTCAGGTAAAACATTAATGAAGTTTTGATCTCTTAAATATCATTTTAAGCCTATAAAAAATTTTTAAACCATCTCTCCCGCAACCTCTTCTCTCAAAAATATTTACAATTTATTAAAAGAATTTGAAATTTTTGAAATAACGACCATAATTTAAAATATTTAGGAAAAAGCATTTATATAAAAGATAAAACCAAAAATACTCATCGTCCACTCCCTGGTTCGGCTCAATTTTTTAAATTTATTTAAAAGTAAATTATAACTTTTTATATCTTCTTATCTTATCTATCACATTGGTCATAGATCTGCCCAAAGTAAGCGAATGTGAATCATAAGGAGGCCCACCTCCCTTTAATTTTGCTGATTTTTTTTTCTCAGGGATACCAACACTTGTAATACAGATTTTATCAAAATGAGTAGAATTACGCCCTATTCTATTTGTAGTTCTAGAGTGAGGTATAGTTATGAGTGTGAAGGAGAAAAAGGTAAGAAAATAAAAACTATATCTTCTAAATAC